GCATGCAGACTGATGACGAAAAACGAGCGAGGACGAAAAAACGAGGGGCAAACTTTACGGAGGTGACGGTGTCAGTTGTTGATCATAAATGTGTCTGTAACTCTCATGTGTAGGAGATCTGCTTTGTGTGAGTATTTGTGTGTGTTTCACATGAGCACAATACCCCCCCGACTCCCACCCCTGCCCCCCCGACTCCCACCCACACAAACAAAGTGCCAAGGTTTTGATATGTGGGTAAATCTTCTGGCAGAGTGGCTGCCAGCCTGGAGCTATGATGAATGCTGATGGCAGAGAGCACGGCCAGCCTCGGAACTGTCATTCACTTTTACACACACACACACACACACACACACTAATCTTATTCCCAGCGTGTGAAGGCCAAATGGCATCCTTCCACTGGTGAATGCTAATGTGAGCAGCAGAGCTTGTGGGTTTGTGGAACAAGGATGTTGGAGATCCAGGGGAGTTGATGACAAGAGAACGTAGATGGGATTGTTTACTGACGTGTGGAGTGTGTCGTGCCTGTGCGTGGAAATGTTCATCCTTCTGCCAAATTACTGCAACTTGCACTTTGCTTTTTTAATTTGGGAGCCAGATTAGATTTGATCTTGTTTTCGGGGGGTTGGTGCATATGTCGGGTTTACAAGTTTAATTTGCAGGAGTTGTTGGTGAAATTGTTTCCAAAGATGTTTTGGCTGCACTGAGCAAATGCTGCAGACAAATGGAAATCAGAGTATATTTGATGAGGACTAATGGTCCAACAGGACAAAAAGATCCTTCGTGTGGTCTTTTTAACATGTCAACGCAACTGTATTCACTGCTAATCCAGAGAATAATGAGGGCGACCTGGATCGGTACTACGACAACCAGAACCAACAGGGACTTTCAGAATAAAAACCTTATATGTTCTTTAGTGACGTGCAAAGAATAGAACACCAGGAGTGAATGATTTGATCTGTTCAAACACGGAGGAGAAATCATCTCTAATTGTTTCTTGTTTTGCTGAGTTGTGTGTAAAACGCTCATAAAAAAACAAAATGGTTCTGGACTTACAGCGTTCGATGCGGTCCTCTGGACTGGAGGATGTCTCTCGGTCAGACAGGAGACCAGACACGGCGAAGATCTTTTTCCCACTGTCCTCCACTGCCTTCAGGGCGCTGCTGGGAGAACCTCCAGGAGGAATCTGAGAACCTCCGAAGTCGTACTCTTTGCCCTCCGCGTCAGAGTACCGCAGGTGAGGAGAGGCGTCCGCGTCCAGGCAGCCTTTGAGGCGCTTGGCCGGGGTGAAGGCAGACTGATACCCACCAGGAGCGCCGTCGCGGTCTTCTGGGGGTGAGGCGAAAGGTCTGAAAGCCCCGACGCCGCTGTGGTTCAGCATGCTGATTGGTGAGCAGTCTAGGTTTGGTGGAGCAAACTGATGATGGAGATGGAGCAGAGATGGTGGGAAGTCCCTGTTGGGGAATCCTGGCGGGACCGCACCTTGGCGGTGGTACATCGAAGCAAAAGTGTAGGAACCGTTGTTGAATGGCAAGTGGACGTCTTTCTCGACGGACACCGGAACGCCAAACGGGCGTGGCTGCTGGCAGGGGATGGAAGCATCACGAGAGGCTTCGGCCGTGGAGGCCAGGACCATCAGGGCTGGGGAGGCCAGAGGATTGGGCAGGTAGGAGGAGCTCTCCATTTTGAAGGCTGCCCTGTGGAGGTCCATGTTTGGACTGAAGTAGGAGGAGGAAAAAATTTTAAGATTCGTAAAGGGAGGAGACTCTTTCTCCTCAGTGAATTCCGAGACAATGTCCAAGACCCTTGGGGAAGGGTCTGAGAAAGTGAAGGAATGTGGTGTGAAAGTTCAGCGAAGGAGTTGTTTTTGGGGAAGGGGCTCAGAAAAGAGCCATTCAGAGGAAACAAGAGTTTTCTTGGCAAAGTGAAGGGGAAGTCTGTCAGCGCTGATTCAGCTGCGACTCCGTTCAGTTCATTCTCTTCTGCAGAACTAAAGGCCGTTAATGTGTGTCCACTCAGATTCACTTCTTCAGTCCAGACTGTTCCAGGCCAGGCCACCGGACGTGTCCAGATGTCATGAGCGCTGACAAACACACGCAGTTAACTTTTTGGGATCCTCTCTTCGGATGTATATTTTTAGGAGGTCTGGGGGCGGTGAACATCAAAGCTGGTTCCTCATCTTCATCTGGTCTTCAGGCTGGGAGCACAGAAGATAAGAGAAGGATGAAAATCAGTTTAAAAAACTTTGTCACAAAGTTACATTTTTAGACATGAATGTAATAATTCAGAGAAGGTTTTTCTGGTCAAACAAAAAAAAAAGAAAACTTTGAAATCAGAGTCTGAATGAATGTTAAAAGGACAAAGTCCAAGTCTCCTGGAGAAACCATTCTTTAAATCCTAGCCTTCCAACCAGGTGTCAACAGCTTTAACACCAACATCTAGAAAAACAAAGATTCTCAGTAAATTTTCTTCTTAGTTACATTTTTGCACTTAACGTAAATGAAGAATTCTGTCAAATTAATTCACTCTACTCATCTTAACAAACCTCTTCATCTCATGTGTTTCCAAATGTCTCCTCCCTGTCCTCTACCCACATAATCTGTCCCCATCTCCACCCCCTCCGTCCACTGCTCTGCTCCATCCTCATCTCCTCTCCTCATCTCCCTAGTGCCAGCTCTCCTCTTCCCTCCTCCTTCCATCTCACATCTTGGCCTAAGCCGCTTATTTCTCCCATCTCCCGGGATGTTATTGGACCAGAACCACTTGTCTTAAGATAAGGACACACACACACACACACCACACACACTCTGGGCCCACACACTCATCTGATAAGCAGCTCTGTGGCTCACTGTTCATCTCCACAGCCGACTCGCTGGGACGAACCCTATCCACACTATCACTCCATCTAAACACTTTTAATTTCCCAATTTTACTATCTGTCCTTCCTTTCTCTTTGCATCTCCCCTGTCAATCTCCTCTCCCCCCCTCCCACCCCTCCACCTTTCTCCCCCTGGCCTCCCCGGCCCTGCCTCCCCCGTCTCCCTTGGGTGATTCAGATGGGTGATATCATATCAGAGCTCTCCATCTGCCGTCCACAAGCCAGAGGAAATCTGACTGAGTGAATAAATTAGCCGTACTTGACCTTGCGACCCCGCAGCATCCGTAGCAACAGACTAGAATCTTACCCTTCGGGGGATTAGATCAGGGCGTGCGATTGGACGATCAAAGGAACGTAGAGCGAGGGTAAGAGAGAGAAAGAGGGGCAGCCGATGAAACGACAAAATAACATTTCAGAGATTCTTATCCCCAAAGGGCGATCTGAAGGTGGCTGACTCGTTAATCACACGATATGTTAAGATGTAAAGACGGCAACAGAGCGCTTGTACTTGACACGTGACGGAAATCAGAGCACTGATAAAATGTAAATAGGTTATCATTAGGACAAAAGTACAACAGACTGCAACAATCAAAGTCCAACCTACAGGACTCTGTCGGATTCTTTTTTTTCTGTTTTTAAGTTTTGCAATTTTCACATTCTGGTGTCTTTTACAAAATTGTTGAAAAAGTAACAAAGGAATAATTTTAAAATAAATGAACCTGGACACTCAACACTGGTTTTGTTCACCGAGTGTCTGTGGACAAAGTTGACAATTTTACTTAAATAAACAGCCATGTCTCTGTAACTGCTGTGGACTTGACTCCTGGCCAGCACCAAAAGAGAAACTCCCTGGGAAATGAAAGGAGAAAATCTCTTCTGGCTATCAGCTGTTGACGACACTCATTCAAATCAATGACCAAACCTGATCCGGCCTCTCTGCCACGCCGCTGCACCACCGCCCCGACAAACACACCCACAACTGCTGAGAAGAGGAGAAGACGGCCCAGAGACGTGAGATGTTGAACATCACCACAAGTGTCCAGCAGTGAGGAGGACGGCCTCTGGTCTGGACCGACGCCACAGTGTCAGGTTATTCAGGTTACATGTCCCCGACTCCTCCTCCTGTTCATCCTACTTCTCCTCCATCATCACCCTCTCCTCCCTCCACCTATGACCATCCATCCTGAAATAGCGCTTTGAAAAAGGAAAAAACATTTTTTCTCCTCTTTCACTGAGGCAGCTTTGTCTTTGTGACATCCTCAGCCAGCGTCCTCCTCCCTTCACTCTGTAGATGATATTTCACTTCCTCCTCCTCCACTTCTGAAGGAGGACAATATTTTTTCGTGATGGTGTACTATGCCAATAAGTGTCAGAATATTTCTGTGATATTGTCACAAAGACGAGCTGAGTTTAACCTCTCCATCCAACACTGGGTGACGTTGGCGACTTCACGTCTCGGTTTTTGCCTGTTTGTTCTCAACAACATTTTTTTAAAAGCAAAAATGGATGGAGCCCAAGAAGAAGAAGAAGAAAAATGGAGACAAAGTGATCTGGTCAGAAATGCTGCTAAAACTCATCCACATCTACATCATCTGTTACACAGTAATAAAAAAGTTTCCAAAAATAAAGGTTTTTTCAATCTTCCGTCTCTAAAACAACAGCAATAATTCCACATGACACCAACACCAATGTATATCATCAATATCCAAGTGCAATTACATCTAACACACACACACACACACACACTTGTGCCATTTACAATCCCATTTGCCTCTCGGTGATGGCAGCTTCACATTGTCTGACACTGTGTATATGCATTTTATAATAGGAAATGTCACGGGGAGCGTTCAGCAGCGCTGTCATCATTTGATTAGAGTGTGCAGGAATGATGCTGCTGTCAGCGTGCTATTAAACACAGACGCCGTTTCACGTCAAATCTGCTCTTTAACAGACGACGCTGCAGCAGCGGCGGAGATTACAGTGTCAACACCAATGTGCTCCAACATCACGGCTGAAGAAGAAAACTTTCACTGAGCGACCCAGGCACTCAGCAGGGGGAGGGGCAGGAGCACGAGCACAGAGAACGGTACACCTGGGGCGGGAACACCTGATAACACCTGGTTTGGCCACCAGAGGGTCAGAGGGCACCTGTGGGTCAGAAGATCGACTGCGTGTCCCACACTTTCCATCTGCAACAATGAAGGGGAGTCGGACATCTGGTATCACAGTCACCAAACTGTGGGCCACAACCAAAGCTACCTGTTCTGGGTCAGACTAACTTTTCTAGCCTAAAGTTCTAAAACAGACTTGTGGGTCACATCTAGTACATAAATGTGGGGCACATGTTAATCCCACCTAAATGGAGTGGGCAGCCAAACATCCTACATCGCAAAAAAACAAACACTTGGCCCACAGATGTACACATGGTACACATCCAAAGTGTGGGCCACACCTCATCTCAAACTTGTCGAGCCTGAAATGAAAATTCTCTCTGCGATAACAACACATTCGTCCTGTTTTTTTTTTTTTTAATCAAACAGACTTTGGTGTGAATTCTTTGATTGTCAGGATCAAAAAAATAAAGGAACAGGAAGTCAAATCCAAATGGGAAGCGGAGTGACACGGAGCACTCCTCCTCCTCTTTGTTGACTGGCTGCTGTAAATATTTGCCTTGCACGGACGGTTGGAGTGCGTAAGCAACACTATTGCTCTTCAAACACGTCGGCAAAACTTGTCACATTCACTTCTGCAGCCTGTCTGCCAGAGATCTGGAGAGGAACGAAGAAGAGGAGCAGGAGGAAGAATCCAATTTTTGCTATAAAAATGTCCTGTCGACTGTGACTGCTGTGTGTGTGTGTGTGTGTGTGTGTAGAAGCCAAAGCAGCTCAAGTGTTTCTTTTTTAGTGTAATGGAGAGAACCAGTCAAAACCACAGGCCTGTACGTACATGGACACACACACACACACACACACACACTCGTGGGTATATTTAGAGGCTGCAGACGAGTGTGAAACTGTGTCACTTTTACATGTTCTTACAGTCGTGTCACAGTGTCATTCAACTCGTCTCTGCTGGAGGAACAAACCGTCAGTGACACACGACACGTCGTCTGAACAGCAACAAAAGTTAACTTGGTGCCGAGCAGGTGAAATTATTCAGTCCAATAACTGAATAAAAAGGGAAAAAAAAATCCTCAAACTTTATTATAAGAAGTTACGTTCACATCAGGAGTCCAGTTCTGGAGTCGATCCTGGACCTGGACGGGTTTTTAACACCGCAGCTCCCACTACAGTCAAACAGACTCTTCAAACACGCAGTAAACCGTACGGCCTGTAGTTGGCGGCGTTTTAAAAACTTACGTTTTTTGGACAAAATTGTAGAGGAGCAGATTAGAGGCACATGAATATGTTTGAAATTCAGCAGTTTGTGATTTTGATTTTCCTGAATTTCTCTCTGAGCTGTAATCAAAACGGTTCAAAGTTCGACAACAGACGCTGCGGAAAAACAAGGTGTCAAGCACAGAAGAAGAAAGATTCAGATGTTAAATGTTGACGGTCATCACACACACACACACACACACACACACACACACACTGAGGGAACTGGACAAAGTAAACTGTGTGTGTGTGTGTGTGTGTGACTGGTTTTTAGCATTAAAGCAGCAACACTGCAGCCTGCAGACATGTCCACTCTGTATTCCAGACGGACTGCACTGATTGTGCTTGCACAAGTAGGGGTGTGTGTGTGAGGGAGTGTGTGTGAGTGTGTGTGTGTGTGTCCCTGTTTGCTGTTGTCCAAAGCAACAGTCGATACTATTGAAATCTACTCATTCATGTCTGGCCATGAGGCAAAGCTCAAATGTCCTTGTGAATAAGAATCACGTCCATTTATCTCAACCCCCGCGTTCTCCTCCTCTCCTCTCCTCCTCTCCTCCTCTCCTCCTCTCCTCTCCTATCCCGCTCTATCTTTCTCTCATATTATTTTCTCCTTGTTTTTTTTTGTCTCCTCAGGCACAAACGACCGACTTCAGTCCCAAACATCTTTCAAACATCCTTTCCTGACTTCCTGTCTGTCTCCAGGTTATTGTCTTCACTCATCGGCCGCAGCAGCTGAATGAATGATCAGCCGGGTGGAGGTGGAGGAGGAGGTGGAGGTGGAGGAGGAGGTGGAGAATATTACAGTAAGATTTAATAATAGACAGCCACACACATCATCCTGAGGAGGATAATGACACTTGGGCAATATTCAGCACCAAAATCAATAAGGATTGGACAAAGCTGCAGCGGCTGAAAATACAAGCACTTTCTGCAGCAGTCAAC